TTGCTTGATAAACAATGATGTTTGTAATACTATTTGTTATCTGGATCAGCTGGGGTCAGTGACATAATCCCACGTAAAAATCTGTTACAGATTTCTTTAAAGTATCCCTTATTCCTTCCCCATGTGATGCTTTCTGTGCTGTTCAATAAAAGAGAGCAACGTCCTTTGCTAGGGAGAGATTCACAAGACCGCCTTCAGGCAGGCACAGATCCAGGCTCACACAACAGACAGGGACATGCAGAGTGAAGTAGAGAATTCAAATCTGGGCTCACTCCCAGTTAGATGAGACTAGTAGGAGGTGCTTTAATGACACCAAGGCATCTGAGGAGACTCTGAGTTTTATAATGTGCTCAAATGACTGCATGGTACCACTAAAACTAGAACAGCTTCTCTTTGCTTCAGACTGACTCAATGAGCCACTTATCAGATTATTATTAAAATAGAATCTATAAAGCCATGTAGTATTACTGCGATGATCTGAGAAAGACCCAGGCTTCTATGGTGTTCAAGTGCCTGTTCTATCCCGCTTAATATATTGACTGTGTAGGGTCCACTTATACTGTAATCACATACATTTGTATATGCTGGATTGTGTGTGTGTGTGTGTGTGTGTGTGTGTGTGTGTGTGTGTGTGTGTGATCATCAACTATAAATAATCATACAAACACAAGTAAATAAGTTAAACTTTAAAATTTAGAATGCAGAACCTATATTGGGCTCCAGGAAGTAAAGGTAAATTATGTTAAATTTATATAACTCTCACACAAGGGAAGTGTCAATTGGGTTTTTATTAATCTCACCACTGTTTCCAATCCAAATAGAGTTTCTCTGAAGCCAGTAGCATGGTGGAAATTTGGTATCTTTCCACAACCTGAGAACCACATCTCAGAAACCTGCCATTACTGGCTCTTCAGAGTGCTTTTCTTGAGCAGTGTACGCCAGGCCAAACTAATTCTCCTTGTGAGAGTAAAGACAGATCAGGTCGTGGCTGGATGCAGTACATGCTGTCTTTGGTCATGCCTGATTTTCATAGCTGATATAAGAAGTACAATTTCAATATTAATGGAAGAATTAAAACAGCTTCTTTTTCAAAAAGGTTGAATTTCCTGTCCAAATCACTATATAGTAACCTTCAATGTGCTTTGCAGTCAGGTCCCACAACTTATTTCACAGGGTTAGTGTGGATCAAAGAAGTCTTAGTAAGCTAGTGAATGAAAGACCCTAACCCTTCAGGCTTACACCCCCAAGCCCCAGGAAATAAGGAACTAAAAAGAAAACTAGTTCCAAGGGCCACCTGACTCAGCCATTATTCAACCTGTAACAACGTAACAATGTAAAAAGAATTCTGTTAAGAGATGTGCTCAACTGTGACTGGGATAGTTGCAAGTGTTCCAGGAAGGACCACTGTGACCTTTGTGTAAACTCCACTCCCACCTTGATATCCCCTTTGAGGTTTCAGGAAGAATGTACATGTGGAGGTGACTGTACCCACTCTGTGATCAGACCATGATCTTGTGAAACGAAACTGTATGGGAATTGTAATCTTAAGGCTTTTGTGGGTTTTTCCTTTAAAAGCCCCCATGGGGCTGCAGTAAGATGCGACTCTTGCTCTCAGGACAAGAGTTTGCCCGTCTGTACAGTCGCTTCTTCAATAAACCCCTCTTGCTGTTGCATCAACTGGACTGGAGTCTGGGTTCTTGGGGCGCCCCCTCAAGAAGGTAGTACCCTGGGTCTAGGGTCTATCAGTGAACACACTAAACAACTCTGCAAAATGTATTTTTGAACTGTTTCATTAAATGTAAATTGAGGATATAGAAAACTCTGTCAGGTTGTCTATTTTAAAAAAAGAGGAAATAAAACAACTATTTAGGTGAAAAATACTTAGACCTCCATATATTAAAAATTAGATTTCCTAGTATAAAGATCTTTTCTGCCTGATACACATGTGTCCAGCAATGTGAAAATTAGCCTGAGCCCACAGGATTATACAATAATTAAAGTATAAAGTTCTTTAAAAAAAAAGAAGAAGAAGAAGAAGAAAGCAAAACTAAACATGATAATGCCTGTAATTCTAGCATTTGGGAGGCAGAGGAAAAAAAACAAAACAAAACAAAAGTTCCAGGCCTTCCTCTGAGAGGGGGGTGGGACAAGAGAGGGAGGGAGGGAGGGAGGGAGGGAGAGGTAAGAGAGGGGGGAATATATGAAGGATCATGTAAGAGACTTACATCCAGATACAGAGAACTCTTTCAACTCAAAGTAGACAAGAGAATCTATTTTTAAAATGAGCAAAGAATCTAAAAATTTTCAAAAGAATATACATATATGACCAATAAGAACATGAGAAATGCTCAATACCATTAGATACTAGAATAATACAGGCTAGATCATAAGACTACTTTATATATGTGATGGCATAGCAATTTTTTGTTTTAAGTCAGGGTCTCCTTATGTAGCCCTGGGTGGCTTAGAACTTGCTATATAGACCAGGTTGGCATCAAACTCACAAAGATTTGCCTGCCTCTGCCTCCTGTGTGTTGAAAGTAAAAGAGGAAATTTTTTTCTAAGATTTATCTTCTATCTATCTATCTATCTATTTATCTATCTATCTATCTATCATCTATTTATTTATTATGTATACAGTGTTCTATTTGCATGTGTCCTTGCAGGCCAGAAGAGGGCACCAGATCTCATTACAGATGGTTGTGAGCCACCCTATGGTTGCTGGGAATTGAACTCAGGACCTCTGGAAGAACAGCCAGTGCTCTTAACCACTGAGCCATCTCTCCAGTCCAAAAGAGGAATTTTTAAAGCATGGAAAATAATGTGTCAGTGACATACAGAGAAACAAGAACCTTTGTCCCTTAGTGCTAAGAGTTAAAACCAAGTGGCTTTAGCAAACAGATTCGTGGCCCCTCATCTTGAGGTAGATTACCACACAAAAATCAAAGGAAATGTTCACATAATAACTGGTATATAAATGTTCATAGAAGCAAACAGACCAAAGGTGGGAACAGCCCAAATGTCTGTCCAATTGACTGAAGAAAAATAAAGTATATTTATAGTAAAATGTTATTTGGCAATAAAAAAATGCTCTAATATGGATTGGTCCTGAAAATACCAACACTAAATCAAAGTAGTCACAAGAGGTTATACAGTAAAATACATAAAATAAGTAAATTCATAAAAAAGTAGGTAAGTTGTTGCCAAGAACTGGGAGAAGAAAAGAGAAACTGCTTAGGAGGAGAGGGCTCCTTCTGAGGCTGAGTGGCACTTTAAAGGAGTGCTCTCAGCAGCCAGGGAGGCCTCTACACTTAGGAGCAACTGTTGCTCTCGAAAAGGACTTGGTTCAGTTCCCAGTACCCACATGATGATTCACAATCCGATGTCCCTTCCTAACCCCCTTGGGCACTAGGCAAGCATGTGATGTGTGTGTGTGTGTGTGTGTGTGTGTGTGTGTGTGTGTGTGTGTGTGTGTATTGACATAAACACAAAATAAAATCTTAAAAAGCGTCTTTTATGGTATGAATCACATTTCAATAAAACTGTTAAGAAAAATAACCAAGTAACATTCTACGATTTTCAACTAGTATACTTTTAAAAGCAGCTGGCTGACTGACCATTTTCGGTACGTGTCCTTACTGAGGGCAGCAGGGCTGCGGTAGGAAAGTCTGCAGTGGTAAGCAAGCTGCCTTTGGAGACCCTGGGGCTGACACGACTGTAACTGCCTATCTGTAAAGGCAACTTAATTCCAGGAAGTTTCAGGACAAAAACGTGGGTAGCTCAGTCTTTTAAGGATGTTTCCCTGGGGGCCAAAGAGATGGCTCAGCAGTTAAGAACACTGGCTGCTCTTCTAGAGGTCCTGAGTTTAATTCCCAGCAACCACATGGTGGCTCACAACCACCTACAGTGGGATCTGATGCCCTCTTCTGGCATTACATGCAGATAGAGCACTCATATACATAAAATAAAGAAATAAATCTTTTTTTGTTTCTTTGTTTGATTTTTTGAGATAGGGTTTCTCTGTGTAGCTTTGGAGCCTGTCCTGGAACTCACTCTGTAGCCCAGGCTGGCCTTGAACTCACAGAGATCTGCCTGCCTCTGCCTCCCGAATGCTAGGAATAAAGGCGTGCACCACCACCGCCTGGCTCAGAAATAAATCTTAAAAAAAAAAAAAAAAGATGTTTCCCCAAACACTTGCCCTTTTGAGAAGGACTAAATGTACCAAAGTGTTCTGCTTTCTATATTCTGTGGGTCTATTCACCCTTGCCCATATATCTACTTATGCCCTTTTAGATTTCAATTGTAGACCCCCAAAGTATGGTTGCCAAACCCCCTTTATATCACAATATCCTAGCTCAAATAAACAATGGACATTTGAATTAAAGAGTATTAGAATGTTAGAATTGTAGAGGTAGCAGCTATGAATAATTCTACAAGCCTCAAATTGTGAATGCACTGAGTTAAGCTGGCCTACTCCAGAAATGTATGTTTTCTGTGTTTTTTTTTTTAAGTTTTGAGAGACAGGGCCAAACACTTGTTTAAGAAGTTACCTGCTGTGTTTTAAAAATCGGTTTAAGTTATCACACTAATTAAAAGGAACAGCAATAGGAAATTGGTTCAAATAAATAGTAAGGAAAAATCTATTATCATATACCTTATTCAACGTCAGTTGGTTTAACTACCTTGTTACCAATAGGAGAAAATAAGTGAACTATAAAATGCTCAGCTAAGGTTGGATATGAATCTTAAATCCGGCCATCCACAGCACAATCTTCCAGTCGTCAGCTCAACCCTAAGGTGCATCTACCAAATGGATGGCCTTCAGATGGAGTTTCTCCATAGTATCAGTTACATGTAACAGATTTCATTATTTCTGTCTTCCTGAGAATGAAAAATGACTGTACCCTAGCAAATTAAAACAGTGGTCTTAGAAGTGCTGACGGCGCAGAATTCTCTCAAGTACACGGATGAGGGACTTGAGGTCACCTCGGGTTCCATACCTGGAATGCACTGTGCAGTGGCTTCAGTGGTTATGGTTGGAGCAACAGGGGGCTGCTGTTGACTGGAGCTCACTTCGGGCTCTGTGTTAACTGAGGGAGAAAGGGCTACCTCACAAGATGAGACCTGGCTAGGCAAATGGGGCAGGAACTCCTCCGAAGCAACTTGCTCATCCTGTCCAGGCAGCTGAAGGGCAGACAAAGGGATACTGATCTGTTTGTTAGGATGTGATGTGCTCACAGGCATCTGCATGGTCACCTGGTGGGCAGTGCCATGGGCACCAGAGGGTCCTCTGTTTGGTGAAGCCAGAGATACCCTAGCAGTCTTTGGGATGACTGGTCTGGAGATCACAGAGGGGGATGCTGACAGAATGTGTGGGTCTAGCTCCGCACTGAGGGCAGAAGTTACATGGGGAATCAGTTTAGCAGACCCCACACAGGAGGGACCAGCATGAGTCTGAAGCTTGGGCTTTGCCATCTGTGTCAATGAAAGGGCTGGTCCATCTACTCCTCCAGTCAGCTCTGCATTTGCCACAATGTAATAATCTTCTGGAATCTCTTGCTTGATCTTCTTGATGATGACATCATTACTGCACTCATCAACCATCTGTCCCTGGGAACTCGAATGGATAGAAGATGGGACTATTCCTGGCCTTTTGCGAGCAATGCTTTGAGGCCTCTGGGTTTGGGGTTCAAAGTCACTGTCCTCATCTGTAACAGAAGACTCACAAACCATGTCAAACAGTGTGTTTTCATCTTCGTACTCCTCAACAGCTTCGTCCAGCTCAGAGGGCTCACTGCAGTAAGAGAAGTCACAAGAGTCTCTGGTCCGGTTACAGTCCAGCTTTGCCTTCACAGGTCTCCCAGGGTATCTCTCCACAGGGCTAGTCTGCGTCTCGGAAGGCACCCCGATTATACTGGGACTATCAGAATTAAAACTTCGGTTGTCCTGGAAACAAACCCTCTCTTGGGACCCAGCTCTGCAAGTAGCTGTTAGTGGCCAGTGGTAAGCATGACCAGCACTGCAGCCCCACATTGCAGTCAGGTTCCCATGGGAACCTTCAGACAGCAAGTGTTTCAGGTTTGGAATGAGGCTGCAAATAGTCCCATGGCTGTGGGCCCAGCTGACCAATTTGGACAGATTCTCAGATGAGGTATGAAGACAATCCTCCATGTTACAGGATCAGCAGTGTCTTTCCTAAAGGGAAATAATCAAAATGAGAAGCTGTTATTACCCAAGACATTCCCATAGAACTCATCTTTCCAACCATAATCACTCGGAATAAAAAAGGAAATATACTTCTAAGCTGCATGCAGATGCCACCACTGCAGAGGAACAGGAATGGGGACAGCTGACTGTCCACACAGTGTGGGATTTGAAGACAAATCTGTTCGTTTCCTTTATTGCTATAACAATTCCTGCAGACAAGAAAAGAAACAGTGAAGAGAGCACTGGCAGCAGTTGGAGCATTTCTTCATGGTGCATTTTCCTTCTGTAGTGACAGGAGGTTCATTTGCTCAGTCCTTCACAAAACGTGGGCGCTTCCTACAATAACCAAGAGGACTGCTCTTCCAACGGCACCATCTAGTAGACTTCATTACTGGAGGCAGAGCTGAAAACAAAGTCTGGATCCATTGGAGGACGAATGTCAGATCGAGAAAGTCAATCTGCTGGACACTAGAGAACAAGACAAGTGAGAACCAAGGAGAGAATGAGGCACCACACTTAGCAAGCCACGGAAGAAAGTCTTGGAAGAAAAGGGAGAAGAGGCTAGAAGGAAATTGGCTGGGCGCGGGCAGTGGGCAAAGCATCAAGGACAGCAGCCTGGGGTTCTCGCCAATCAGAGGCACTCCAAATTCCTGAAATGGCACCATTCACTCCAGACAGAGGGAAAGGTCAGAGGTGTACTCTACCTCCCGAGGGCCCCAAGGACAAAGAACTAAAACAGGGTAAAATCACTCCTTAGGGGTAGGTGTCAGAGTCAGTGGCTCTAAGTCCTCGGCTGGCTAGGGGCAAAAGGATGGAGAGGGACGTGGAAAGAGACATGTGGACTCTTCAGGTAAGGGAAAGGCTAGACAGGGAGACACAAAGACCTTCATGTGTATTTTATCTGCCCTGTTCATTTTCAAAACCTGAAAATGACTTCACATGGTGTTTTTCAATATCTGATATGGATGATAGGATATCAGCATTATAGCCTTACCAAGTGACATGTCATTAAATATTAAAACTGAAGAGTCCTGGCTGGAAGAGTTTGTGTGTGAGATATGACTACCCCAGATTAGAAAACAAGCCTCCATAGTCTTTAACATTGCCCCGTATGTTAAGTTAAGTAAGAGATGTTCCACACACCAGTAAATTCAAAATCAGAAACACATTAACTATGGAAGTAGATGATCTACCATTAAGCTCAACACCAATCCATAGGCTTGCACATCAAAAAGTAATGCTACTTACTATTTCAACTAATATTTATTGGCCAATTACTACTGTCAGGCATATAAACAACCTAATTATTTAAATAATTTTAATTTGATTCAGTGATTTAGATTATTATCTTTTGTTTGTTTGTTTTTTGTTTTTCGAGACAGGGTTTCTCTGTGTAGCTTTGGAGCCTGTCCTGGAACTTGCTCTGTAGACCAGACTAGACTTGAAATCACAGAGATCTATCTGCCTCTGCCTCCGAGTGCTGGGATTAAAGGCTTGCACCACCACCTCCCAGCCACAGATTATCTTAATATTATAAATGAGAGGCAATTAAGGTACTTGTACAAAATAGGTAGCAGACCTAATATTTGGCCTTATGTTGCACCTATGCTAGTCTATGTTCTTCATAACATTATTCTGTCTCTGGCATTCTTTAAGATTAATTTTTTTTAAATTTTGTGTGTGTGTGTGTGTGTGTGTGTGTGTGTGTGTGTGTGTGTGTGTGCGCGCGCGTGCCTGTGTGTGGGTATGTGCACATTGAGTGATGGTGCCCTGAAGGCCAAAGGCATCATATCCTTCCAAGGCTGAAGTTATAGATGGCTGAGTCATGTGACATGGGTGCTGGGAACCAAATTTGGGTTCTCTGCAACAGTAGTACAGACTTAATCCCTTAGCCATCTCTCCAGCCTCAAAGGTATTACCTGACTGGCTTCCAATTTAGGATCCTCTTACCTCCACCTGCTCAGCATACCCTCCCTACCAGTGTGGACCAACACAACCAGCCAGCGTAACAGCAGAAGAAAGAGTCATCTCAAGTCTGGGTCACTATTACATTAATGTTGATTTGAATTTATGCTGGTTTTACAGGTTTACTTAAGTTGAATTTTAAATTTGTCTAGGTTTATGCCTGTATCAGAACTGTAAGTTCTTACAGTTATATTTATTTTTCTTTTCAATAAACATATTTTGAAGCTCCCCATCTAGTCTGGGCCACTAGTCCAGTATCGAGTTCTGCCCTCGCTGTAGTGAATAAACACCACAGACCAAATGAGCCTGCCACTGCTACTCTCGTGAGAAGCAAGACCACACCTGGAACCAGGAACCGGTACTGTGAAGAGCCCACTGGGAAAGAGGCAGGCAACCGGAAGTCAAACAGGATCCAACAGGTATTTGCAGCAACAGTGCTCACACTCTTGGTGTGAGTAAGCCATGCACTCACAGGATTTGATCACGGCGGGGAAAGCAGGCCCACAAAACTTCCAAGTCCGAGGAACAGAGGAAACATCTGCCTGGACAATCAGTTACACTCTGCAGAAGGCAGACGGGAAGAGGGCAGGCAGGGCTAGCAGGTGCAGCTTCTTTTTCTATCAGGAGACTCTCACTCGCTAGGATTCCTGCATGGTCTCTGTAGGTGATGGGGAGCTGTCTGTGGAAGTGTGCCTGCTCCTCAGGCAGTAGTCAGCTCATTCCCACCTTCCTGTCTTCTGGAACCTCTGCTCCTGCTCACTGCTAGATCCACCTAGGCAGCAGGATCCCCATTAGCAGCAAGGAAGCATTGTCCTTCCAAGACTGTAAGTCAGACTCTTGCTTTTGCTTGGTGATCTCCGCTCATAACCACTGCCTGTGCACCAGGTGCTCAAGGCAAAGTGTTCGCTGAAATAAGACCACATAAAAGGATGCAAGTACTTGGGGCTCCACAGATCACCCTGAAAGGGGCTGTTTCAAGACGTACAGTGGTGGTGCACGCCTCTAATCCTACAGAGAGTTCCAGGAGAGCCAGGGCTACACAAAGAAACCCTGTCTTGAAAACCCAACCAAAAAGAGAGAGAGGGAGGGACGGGGAGAAGAGAAAAGAAAAGGAAAGGAGTAGAGGAGAGGAGGGGAGGGGAAGAAGAAAAGAAAAGAAAAGAAAAGGGGCTGTACCTTGGGCACCTATGGACGTGTTATGGAGACTGGCTGCCACTTGCTTGGCTACGTGATGTGCACTTACTTGTGCAGCACACCCAGCTTTCCGCATAGTCTGCTGTATTTGGATTCCTTCTTTCTACCTGCGGCCACTGCTGCTGCTTTTTTGGTGGGTGTCTCAGAAAGCAGTCCTGCGGCACAGGCACTGTGCAATCGCTGAGGGAGACAGCCTAGGTACACCCAGGCACAGGCACTGGGAATCGCTGAGGGAGACGGCCTAGGTACACCCAGGCACAGGCACTGTACAATCGCTGAGGGAGACGGCCTAGGCGCACCCATGTCCTGCACTCCCCCTTCCTGCACAGGAGCTGCATTCTCTGGCTCCTCCTGCTCCCCTCAGCCTCTACACTCAGCTCTGCCTCTTCCCGAGGTTCTCCCTCCATCGCCCTCTACTCCTCTACCTTTATGGTAGCGGATATATGCAGCATGACCTCACCTTCATTCTGTGTGTGCATGTAGTGTACGGTGTATGTGTTCGTGTGGACATGAACATGTGAGTATAATGCTTGAGTGTGGATGACCAAAGCGGACACTGAGGGTCTTCCTCAATCACTTCTCTACCTTATTTATTTGATTGATTGTATGTGTGTTTTCATCTTGTCTGCATGTATGTCTGTATACCACCATGGAATCTGGATCCACTGAAAGAACAGCCAGTGCTCTTAACTGCCGCGCCATCTCTCCACACCCTACCTTATTTCTGAGGCAGGGATTCTCACTGAACCAGCTCACTGAAGTGGTTAGGCTGTCTAGCCAATGAACTCCAGGCACTCTCCTGTCTCCACACCGCTGCCCTCTACCCTTAGCACTGGGATTCCAGGGTGTGCCGTCATAACTGGGTGCTAAGGACGAACTGAGGAGCTTGTTTGTGTAGTAGGCACTCTACCAACGGAGCCGGCCCCCAGCCCTGGTTACATGTCTTTAAATAGCAACATAACAACTTATCAGCCCTGAACTAAAGAGGAAGGACAGAGCACGGGAATAACTTTTCTCAATAGTTTGAAAACAATGGTTTTCTAGAAAATAGTATTCAGGTCTAAAGCATTATGTTACTTTTCCAGAACCAGAAAAAGCTAGCTAGCAGTTGACCAACAGTGAAAACCCGACTAGCTTCCAGCTGGCATTAGATACCTCAACTTGCTGGACAATCTTTATAAGTTCTAACTCTTCCAAACCTTTTAAAATTTGCTTGTTTTAAAACTACCAGGTCTCAGTTGCTCACATACAAGAATTCTTTAACGAACTGATTTTTAAAAATGTTTTTCAATAAAAGCTCAGATGATTTCACTGGTAAATTCTCTTAGCCTAGGAAAAAAATAAGTTTTAAAAAGTTATGTCCCAGGTGTGGTGGTGCACGCCTTTAATCCCAGCACTCAGGAGGCAGAAGCAGGTGGATCTTTGTGAGTTTGAGGCTAGCCTGGTCTACAGAGTGAGTTCCAGGACAGCCAGAGAGAAAAGAAATATTTGGAAAAAACAAAACAAACAAAAACTCAGGAGGCTGAACACTGAGGCAAATGCTTGTATTATCATCACTGGGGGGTGGGGGGTGGAAGCGTGGAGGTTGTGAATTTGAGGCCAGCCTGGATTGCATAGCAAAATCTTATTTCTAAATAAATAAATAAGAAAAAAAGGAGGGAGTACTCCTTAACTTGTTTAAGGAGGACAGCCCAACCCTTACACCAAAATCGAATGAAGTTACTGTAATAAAATTATAAATCAAGACTTCTTCCAAATGCTGATGCAAAAATCCTTCACAAAGAATTAGCAAAGGGAATCCAATAATGTAAATATAGGTAACACACTGT